CTGTCCTGTGCATTTGTCATGAATCCGTTTTTTCGTTTAAAACCTTTTAGTTTCTGCATCCCTGTCAGCTCTGCAGAGGTATGGCCTTTTTTTTTTTCTCTAAGTAGTTTAGTATGGATCTGCTTAAAGGTTCCATGAAAGAACCTCAACCATTTTATCCTGACTGTGCTCTAACAACAGGTACTCAGGGTGAGCTATCCTCTGTCCAGAGGGTTAAATGATATATTTTCTCCAGCAAAGGGTTGCGTCACTGTGGCCATAAAGCCCCCGAGCCCTCATTTTTCACCATGAGTTTTGTGTTTCTGTCTTGAGTGTCAGCTCAGCTATGTCATCAAAAGATCTCCCATTTCTACAGGCTTCTGCTGTCGTGCTCCCCCCCATTCCCTGCTGCAAACAGAGCGCGCAAGTGTGCTCTTTGCAAGAGTCCTCCCCTCACCCTGGGGAGCCCCAGCGACACGGACGCCCTTACCTGGCACCCAGCAGCCTGCAGAGGCCAATCTCCCCTGGAGCCAGCGCTGCCTGTGCTGCTTGTTGGCGAGGATGTGGGCGGGCTGTGCCAGGGTTTGCTTCCCAAAATGTACAGCAGAAGACACACATCAAGCAGTTCCATATATGCTGCATCCCTCTGACAGCCTGCTACTGACTTCTTCCCCGATAGCTACCCATGGACATACCCGGTAGAGACTTTTTTATGCTCTCCGATGACTTTGTCCTAGCTGTCTCTGGGGCACACGCTATAGATTGTGTTGGCATGTGTTACAACACCATGATGCACACGGTGGAGTCTATTTCATAGCTGACACATGGATGCCGCGCATCCTCACAAGGCTGTAGGCAGGCACACGTGCCTCTGGACGGATCAGGGCAGCACCTCAGCAAAAGGCAACAAGTGCTTGCACGTTAACTATTTTAATTAGGCAAAGCGATCCCTTTTGGTCCAGCTCTTTCATGACAGAGCAGAAAGAACTAATGGGTGAACATCCAGGACATGGAGGTAAGTCGGTCAGTAACTAACTCCAACGTGGACATCTAAGATTGATTTAATAGCACCTGCACTGCATTTGTCAGCATTAAAAAATAATAGTAAAAAGGTTGCTAAGAAGTGTGCCCATGTCTCTGACAGCCTGGTTCAGCTCCAGAAACCGAAGAGGTTTGATGGACCTCAGCACCCATGGCCAGTGGCCAACATCCACGAGGTGGAGCTCCAAACGTGTCGATGAGCCCTGCAAGGGCGGCTTCATCTTGCACCTCACTCTCGGTTTTTCCTCTTTCCACACTAAATAAGTGTTTATTTCAAAAGTGGGCTTGAGAGTTTCCTTCTTCATCTATTTCTCTGACTTTACCTAGTGCCAACTTGTGCTCTTGTTCAATCACAGGACCTCTTAGATGCGAAATACAAAACCAAACGTCTTCTCAGAAAATGGGGCATAGTTGTGAACACGCAGTGTCACGTCAGCCTCACTTCCCGCTCACGGGGAAAGCTGCAGAAGGCACAGATTATCAGTAAATTCAGGTGACAGATAATGACAGTTAATGGTATTTGACACAGGCAGAACCATGTTCAAGAATCTCAAGTGTTTTGATGAAAATTTTTAAGTAATTCCTCCTAGCCAATTTCTGTAATTGTGGCAGGAATGTAAATGTCTTTCCTGCAGCCCTGGCACAAACAGGTCATGGTAACTTTAACAAAATGAGTAATTAGAGTAATCTTGCCTGCCCACCTTCACAAGGGACAGTTTGTTCGGGAGATTTTTGCTTGTTTTTCTCACAAGGTTGAGAGCAGCAGCGCTGATGTTCCCTGCAGCTAGCCAGAAAAAAAGTTCCCTCTCTGGCTGTAGGTGAAGCTCCAGTGTTTCCACGGGCGATACCGTGCCTGCTCCCTTCCCCTGCCTCACCCCCATGAGCACGGAGCAGATGTGCTCGGTCTCTTTTACTGGGCTTTGAGCCCAGCACCCCAGCCCTTCCCATCCGCTCGGAGAGGGGACGTGGGTCAGCGCCAACACGCCTGGACCCCAGCGGGTTTGGGGTCAGAAGGTGCCAACCCTGGTGGGCTCCCCCCCCAAATGTCAGGATTTTGGTGGCATTATGTTTGCTCAAACACCATGGGGCCAAGCACCTCAACTCTCAGCACATTGCTTTTCCTGGCAACTATGATTAATATCAAACAAAACGAGAGCCAGTTTGATTAGCAGTCATTTGAGAGCTGGTGGGTATCCACCATCCTGCTAAGCTCCATCGCCCCCCACAGGCTAACAGGCAGTTTGAGGAAGCCCCTTGCAGGACGCTGGGCTGCGGATGGGGGGATGCTCAGTGCCATGGGGCACTGTCAGGGACCTGCTCACCCCAGGGACACGGCAGAAGCAAGACCCCTGCTTCTCGCAACAGCCCCATGCATCCCACATGGCGCACCCAGATTCCTCTGCTGCTGTTCGGATGGAGATGATGATTTCCCTATCACTTTTTGGTGAGTGACTCCTTCAGCTGGAACAGCCGCTGTGGATCTGCCACCCGGCTGCGGCCCCCGTTACGGGAGCAGCCACTCCATTGCACTGAGTGGCAGGGTGCTGAGCTGATGGCAGGGTAACATCCCCACCAGGGCTCATCTATCAGGGGGCTAATTCACTTCCTTTTTCAACTGCTGGAAAACATCGCAATTTATTTCAGCCTGTGCCAGAGGGCAGGTTTTGCCCTCTGGACAAGACCTGCTGCTTCTTGTACCCTGGCTCCTCATCCTACCTAATGACCTCTGCTCTTCAGCTGGTGTTTCAGCACTCACCCCAAGTCCTGCTGTGCAGTCCAGGCCACCTCGCTGGCCCCTCTTTCACCCTGATCCCGTCATCACCCATGGTAGACCTTCGGCATCTCTCATGTCCAATCCTAGGTGCTTTGCTCTCAAGGTTGGTTTCTGGCCAGGGAATGATAACTCACATCTCGACAGTTCCTGGTGAATCCCTCCGGCTGAGCCCATCCTCAGGGACCTGATCCACTCACTGCTGGAGCCCAGCTCTTGGTGCACCAAGGTCCTGCTGGACCCTGGCTGGGTGCACTTGGCAGGACCTTGCATCTCTGCAGGGCGAGCTCCCCCCCACAGCTCTGGGACAAGGCAGAGCATTTGGGGAGATAAAGCGCTGGAGACTTGTGCCTCTGACCCCCCAGAGCTGCTCACAGCAGGACTGCAAAACTAAGCAAAGGGCTGAAAAAGCCTCCAGCAAACCCCACAATAGCATCAGCTGGGGAGCAGGCTCCCTGAGCAGGCCAGGACAGAATAAGGGTTTTTTCCCCTGTCCGAGGCACACGCCTCTGCTCTGTTCCTCAGGCTGGACCGAGCAGATCCCTCGATGAGCCGATTCACCTGCAAAACAGCAATATTTGGGGCTGCCCTTCCCCAGAAGAGGCTCTTAGAGGGGGAGGAGGGATGAGATGTTGGCGGGTTGAATGGTGACATCTTCCTTTCTGAGAGCTGAAGCCACGCCGACTTGGAGGAGTCTCTTCTGTTGTTGTTCTTTAGTTCAAGTTTCAGTGTCCCAGCCCCAGGACTGGGAGGAGGAGGGCAGCGCTGACTCGACCCCTCACTTCTGAAGAGCTGAGCTGCCCCAAAGTATGTTTGTGTCTGTACTCAAGGAGCATGTGCCTTAAATGCATTTATTTTTTTTCTGGGGGTGTTCAGCCTGGAGCAGAGGAGGCTGAGGGGAGCCCTCATCGCTCCCTACAACTGCCTGAGAGGAGGGGGGAGCCGGGGGGGTCGGGCTCTGCTCCCAGGGAAGGGGCGATGGGACGAGGGGCACCGGCCTCAAGTTGTGCCAGGGCAGGGTGAGGTTGGCCATGGGGAACAATTCCTTCCCCTTGGGGCTGTCAGGGGCTGGAAGGGGCTGCCCAGGGAAGGGGTCGAGTCCCCAGCCCTGGGGGGATTTAACAGCCGGGCAGGGGCGGTGCTGAGGGCCAGGGTTTGGGGGTGGGATGGCAGGGGTTAGGAAAGTGGTTGGGCTGGGGGAGCTGAAAGGTCTTCTTCAGCCTAAATGATACTGTAATTCTATGATTCTAATACGAACAGTTTTACAAATTTTATTTTGCATGCTGGGCAGGGTCCCTGTTTTCAAGCCTGAAGGAGCAGCTGAGCTCCTGTTGGCACCCAATGGGGCTGGGCAAAGGACCTCATCCCATCTGCAGGAGTCCCCATCCCGGGGATGGGCAGCATTGCAGCATCTTGCTCCCCGTCTGCCTGCAAAGCGACCGACAGCATGGTCTGTCCCCAGAAGACCACCCCATGCCCTGAGCTCATGGAACTGCCCTTTTGGGCCAGGCTCATCCTGCTTGCCACATGCAACAGCGCTGGTCTGTGTGTAGGAGCTGCCACCAGTGCAGCTCTTCCCACTCCCAAGCTCCTGCTCAGGTGACATTGGAAGCACGGTGGGAGCAGCCACCATTCCTGGCCCAGAGCATAAATATGGAGCTGGGAGCTGCCATCTCTTTGGGGAGCATTTGCTTATTGCTTTGAGTTAACTTGTGTTTTGTGGGGAGGATTTGTGCTCTGGGAACTTCCCAGCACCAAGTCCCAGTGTTCCTGACCAACATCGGGCACCTACTGCTAGACCAGGATTAAGTGGCTGTGGTCCCCAGCAGCGGGATTTAGGGCTAAGCCCTCTCCATGGCTTTCTGCTTGGTGTAACGACCCTGAGACATCTGACCTCCCTGCCCCAATTCTCCTCCCGTCTCTAATTTGAAGCCATGGTTTTTGCCGCGGGAGCTGTCTGATGGAGCATAAGCTGCTGAGCATCTCAGCATGCAAATTCCTAGGATCCAGCCCTAATATAAGTAGCTTGTCCCTAGGAATGGGGCTTGTCCTGGTTTCGGCTGGGACAGTTAATTTTCTCCCCAGTCGCTGGCATGGTGCTGCGGTTTGGATTTAGCACCAGAAGAATGCTGGTAACACCCTGATGGTTTGGTTGTTGCGGGGTAGTGCTGAGACTGGCCAAGGGCTTCTCAGCTCCCAGCTCTGCCAGGGGCACAAGGAGCTGGGAGGGGGCACAGCCAGGACAGCCGACCCCAACCGACCCCAGGGGTACCCACACCGTATGGCGTCACGTGCAGTATAGAAACCGGGGGAAGAAGGAAGGGGGGGCGTTGGGAGCGATGGCCTTTGCCTGCCCCAGTCACCGTTAGGCGGGATGGAGCCCGGCTGTCCTGGGGGGGCTGAGCACCCCCTGCCATGGGAAGCAGGGAAGGAATCCCTTGCTTTGCTCTGCTTGCCTGTGCAGCTTTTGCTTTCCCTATTAAGCTGTCTTTATCTCAACCCATGAGTTTTCTGACTTTTACTCCTCTGATTCTCTCCCCTGTCCCATTGTGGGGGCAGTGAGCAAGTGGCTGGGGGGCTGAGTTGCCGGCTGGTGTTAAAGCATGACAGGGCTCTGCAGCCCACAGTGAAGGGAAAAACATTTCAGTGGACGGGATACCTGTTGGCTACAGAGAAATACTGTGGGACTGAATAAATCACGGTGTTCATGCACCCAAGGATGTTGGGAGGAAGACTTCATGCAGCTAACGACCAGGCGACAGCCACTCCTATTGCAAGGTCACGCTTTAATTAGAAGGAAAACATACGGTCTCGAAGGGAAAAGGGAGAAGTGCAATGCTGCGCAGCAATTATTTCCAAAGGTCACAAGGCGATAGGAAAATTAAAAAAATAATTTTGCCATTCTTCGCAGTAATATTGGGTTTTTTCCTCCACTTAATTGACGGCGAAATCAAGACGACTATTGAACTTGTGTGCTATAATTATTACATCAGTAGATAAGATGATTCGGTAAATAAAGAGAGCAAGAGGTTTTCATGCTATTGCTATTTTATCACTGACTATTTCAAGCTTTTATCAAGTCATGCTAATCAACCTTTATTTGCTTAATAAATTCTTATCCCAAAGTGTTGATTTTGTCAAAATTACCTTCTCGGTAAAGGGTGTAATTTTCCAGTGGTAAAATGAAGGATGTTCTCAATACTGGTAATTGTCCAATTATTTTGTACGATTTTTATGTTTTAACAAGCTGAGCGGGTTTCAAGGCAGCCCGAGCGCTCCGCACGGCTCGTGAGCGTGCTGAACAGGACGGCACCTGGCAGCGCTTTCATTACCCACCATCTTCTCACTAATGAAGGAAATAAGACCTGAGCCCAGGTTTTTTTCTTGCTGGGTGTGAAAAAGACATCACCTTTTCACACACCAGAACACAAACCAGGCATTATTCCATTCACCTTCCGCCCCAAAAGCCACATTATTTATTAGCGCTGACCAGAGCACGATACAAGCCCAGGGAAAAGAGCTCTGTGTGGTTCAGTGGGGACAGATCCCCAAAAAAACCCCCAATGATCCTGGGGGCGATGTTGAAACTGGGGTGCGGTACCACCCATGTCCCGTGTACACGTGCACCCTCAAAGCGGAGGCACCGGTCCCTGGGAGGGCTGGTGTTGTCCTGGAGCTAGAGGAAAACAACTTGCACCTTGCTTACAGCGTGGTGGCTGCCGTCAGATCATCAAGCACAGCAGCCAGGAGGGAGAAGGGAAAGGGCTGGTTACAGCCGGCTGCGATGCCCAAGGCGACCTGTAACACCAGGAACACCGGCCAACGCTTCACAGAACCTGCCCACTGAGCGCTGGGGTGTCCATGTGTGCGGGCAAAACCTCCCGGCATTTATCTGCTCACCCACAGTCGCTGTTCTGCTCTTTCTCCATTCCCTCCTGCGCCGTTACCTGGAGCGGCAAGGAGAACGTGGAAGGAAGGGTTTGCAGCTGAACATGCTGGAAAATGAACAGCCATCCGAAAATCACATCGTCCTCTACCCCCGTGCTTCTGTGAAAACGCCACATCAGGGGTGCGTTGTGCTTGGGAACCGACTCACCGCACCAGACCACCGCGCCGGCTGATCTTCGCCCCCAGGAAGAGGAGACGAGTCTTAGCACAGAAGTAAAGCACAGATCGTGCACGGTGATTTGTACCACCAGTCATTTAGGTGGCCAGGAACCCCCGAGCACTGGGAAACAAGTGTTGCCTGACAATATTATTGATTTTCTTATTTTGAAAGCATCACCAAATAAGTGCTAGAGGGCAAGGCTGAAGGAGAGCAAAACACAACCCGATCTGGACTGCAGTGAAACAACTCAACACACTAATGAAATTCCCTTCCGATGAATCGATGTAAATCAGGCTTGGGAGGAACAGTATCATTTTAATGGTGGCTGAAAGACTGTAAACAACATAACGAGTGGCAATATAGCAAACCGGGGAGGGTTCATTCAATATGGTGGCAAAGGGATAGGCGTCAGGGCTCGTTCTATTTAACATCCTCATTAATGATCCAGAGGAAGAAACAGGCAGCGTGTAATGAGATTTGATGCTTGGGAGGATTGGTTAGCACCGGTGAGAGCTGCAAATCAATGCAAAGCAACAGACACCCGAATCATGGGCGGAGAACAACAAAAGGCACAAAGCAGGCAGGTGGAAAACAAGTTTAATAAAGAGAGACCTGAGGAAACTGCAGCCAGAGGAAACGTCGCTTTGGTGAGGGGAGACCTCAGGGGCAGCAGGCTGAGCTGCCACGGTGCCGCAGCAAAAACCGGGGATGCCAGAGCCTGCGCCACCCGGCGGGGAGCTCGGCCGCCCCCACCTCTCGGCACCACTTTGGAGAGCACCATCGCGCTCAGCTGCTCCGTCCCACGCGTCTCTGCCGCTGCCAGGCTTAGAAAGGAGCAATAAAAGTGTTGGCGAAGGACCTGGGAAAAGCCTGGAAGTGCTGCAGCTTCGCTGCGGGCGCAGAGCTTGGCAAAGCCACGGCTCAGAGAGGATGGGGACACGGCCGTCACCCACGTCTGAAGAGGCACAGGAAGGCAAAATGCATCTCAGAGCACGGAAACCGCAGCTTCGCCTGTCGAGGAAGGAAGATGCAACTCATTCCAAACTATTTGGGCCATAACATGTACGGAAATTCCCACATTTGAGAACACAAGAGCAACCCGAGCAAATTCTAATGAAGGCGAAAACGTATGAAGTCTTGCATAGCAAGATGGCAATGATGCAACATTAATGCCTGCTTGAAAAAAAGTCAGCCTTGCACGAACAAGGCTTCTGATCTATCTGGGCTCAGAAAGGCAGAGCGACAGCACAGAAAGAATATTTCTAAGCAGTTACAGGCAGTTACCAGCTCTGATCGTAGGGCTCAAGGAATGCAAGAGGCACCGTAAAGGCCCTGGGATGACGAGGGCAGACTGCAGCCCCCGCCACGCCAGGCGAGCAGCTTTCCCCTAGCCAGCACCAGCTGAAACTCCCAGAAAACCTGAATCCTCCAGAAAAGTTTGGAAGGGCGCAGTCCCCTGTAACACGGGCGCCGTTCCTCCACTTGCCTGCCACCATCTTTTGCAGGGCCAGACCTCGCTTGCGGGCGACAGCATCCCTCAGCGCGGTCTCGGGCACTGCAGGAGTTTCCACAGGCACACGGCTGCCCCAAGCAGCAGCAAGGCTTTAACGAGCAGTAAAGGGGAGGGAATTTGGGATCCAAAACCTCACGGGCAGTTTGCTGGTTCACGATTTGAGCTGCAGCAGGCATTAGGTGCTGTTTTCCTATTTTATTAGCACCCCTTGTTAAAAACTGTTTAAAAAATTTCTGTTACGAATTCAGTAACTTCTTCCTAACAGCGCTGCCGGGTAATTCAGGCTCCGGTACCGCC